TCTATAATGCAAACTTCGATCATTGTTTATAATTTATCTTCAGCATGTAAAACGGAAACAAAATAAACAAATTTCCATTCAACTCGAGTCAGCATGTAGTCCCTTAGTAACATGTATGTTTATTTATATATAGAAATAGTTTTGTACACTCATAAATATACGGCTCATGTCCAGATAACATCTACTTTGCATAAATCTATAAAGAGGAACTGCTTCACCCTACAGCCAATGCAATATTAAATTGTCTCTGCAGAGCAGCTTGGCTACTTAACCCTCTCCCAGTCACTCTCCCTCTCTCTCCCTCTCTTTCTTGCACTCGCGCGCTGTCACTGTGCTGCTGGTGCATGTGCAATGCACGTTGAGGCATTTGGAGGCTTAACCGGAAACTTTTAATTTAATTAATTTATACACAAAGGCGCAATCAACAAAAGACGATTGCAACAGTTCCCATTGCCCGTCCAGCCCAGCCACACCCCCTGCCCAGGCAGCCAGCGCAGCGAATGCATGCGAATTGCGGTTAGAGGGCAGCGAGTGCATCTGCTGATCAGATATATGGATAGATAAACGGAACGGCAGCCGCTTTCAAGATGATTTTGTGGCCCGACAATGCAATGCCCGATTTGCTCCGAGTAATGCGAATGCTTTTGCCATAATTCATGAACAGCGGGCGGCAATTCGTTTTGCCAATGGCATATCTCAATTTGCTTGGCATTTCCCTAATTTCCCTCGCATATGCCGTTTTCAGCTGTGCTGCATGCGCCACGTGCAGCGAGCAGTTGCTGCCGCTTGGCCGTGGCCTTTGCCAACAGGTGAACAACAAAATTTTGGCATTCGCTATTCCATTTGATGAGCTGCTCGTGTATAGAATTGGATTCAGAATTTACCTTGATATTTATTTTTTAATAACAACAACAACAACAACGACAGCAACAGCAGCGGCAAGTTGAGTGCCCCGGACGGAAGACGCAATTAGCGGGCAACATAATTAATTTATAAAATATCAGCTAACCATAAGGGCAGACAGGCCGCCACACACACACACACACAAACACACACACACACAGTCACACTTAGACACCTCATCATGCAACAGGTCAGCGCAGAATGAAATGAGAAGCATATAAATATTTATATTAGAATACACACATACACATACCTGCTCATACACACATACACACATACATACATACATATGTAAGCATATATATTTATATAAACTGCGAGCATAAAACACATTCTACACCCAAGTTGTACGAGTTTTATTGATTTTCTCACTGTTTTTGGTCAGCGCATATGTTCCCTGTATTCAAATATTAACGCCCTGCTCAGCATACGAAATTTCATATGGATTTTCGCATTGTCTTTGGCCAAACTCAAAGTCATTATTTGGCTTCAATTGAATTTTTGCTACGCTTAAATCAAGCTCAACTTTGCAAACATATTAAACATCCAAAATTGCATTGATTATAATTGGAATTGTTTGGTTGAAGCCAGCTAAAGGTCTGAAGTGTTTTCCAAGAAATTCATCAATATATCTGTACATCTGTATATTATATACAAAACTCGTAAAAACACTCAAATTGTTAGCTCAAATAAGCTAAACAATTTGACTGAATAAAGTTACTTCAAGTTGAAGATCTTTGGGTTGTTGGACTTGTATGTACAGTAGAGTGCATGATATGTATATAATATATTATTATGTATATGTGTATATATGTATATTCATATATACATACAAATAAGAAAGACTGAATTTTCTATTATAATCTCGATTAAAAACTAAAATTAAATTTGCTCTATAATTTATTTTATTGTATTAGTAAAATCTGTATAAATATTAACAAATTTTTACCTGCTTCAAGTTTTCTAATTTCGTTTTCCTTGATTATTTCATATAATTTTTGATGATATATATAGTCGAACAACTCAATGCACTCTTTGCCCACTTTTCACTTTTATTTTGTTGATTAAAATCAATTTAGATCTGGTTTTCACTTGACTTAAAAATGGCGTTTCACTGTGCCACCTGCACACACCTACACACGCCTCCACACACGCACACACTAACACACTCACGCAGATATCGAGGGAGATAGAGAGAGAGAGAGAGCGAGTGAGAACGAGAGAGAGCGGTACCTGTTGCGCCTGGCTTTGGCTTTGAATCGCGCTCGATATTGGCGCGCTAATTTAATTGACACTCGGCGATTAATACGGCTATAAGATTTGATGGAAAACTTTTCGGATCGCGTTTCATTGACAAATTATTGACGTGAATTTCGTCTGATTCGCAATCGGGATTTGAATTTTTATGATGAGCCGCTGCTTGAAGTTGAGCCCATATTATTTTGTTTTCATCTTGTTTTTTTTTATCTTATTTTTGTTATATTTTTATTGGGTTTTTTTATTATGATTTATTCGCGCCTGGTGCGAAATTCATCCGCGCTGCCCAACGCTCGCTGGCAAAATGCGCAAACAATTCGCTGGGATACGGCGTCGCAGTCGCAGTCGCAGTTGCTGTCGCTGTCGCTGCCGCTGCCACTGCCGGATAGCAAATGTGATAACGTTGCCAGCGACAGCGTCGCGACGCGGACTCGACTGGATTCGGCAGGCAGGCGAGCAGAGCCCACAACAATCCCGCAAACGAAACCGAACCCGAGCACGAACCCGAACCCGAACCCGAACTCAGTCGCAGTCGTTCCCTCTGGTGCAAGTTGAATATTGCACTCTGTAATGCGTATATGTGTGTGTGCGTGTGTGCGCGTGTGTGTGTGGTGAGTTTTGGGTGCTCATTTATACGACTGCTTCGTTGCTGTCATTTGTATTTGGCAAACGGCATGGATGAGAGGCAGGAACAACGGAGACAGCAAATCTATGAATGTTAATGTTTATTGTGTGTGCTTATGTTAAGCATACGCCGCGTTTATTTTTGTTTGTTGAATTATGAACTAGTCCAAATATCAGGGACATTTAGAACTGTCGCATAATTGAGCTATTAACGCGTTTATTTTGTCACAGTTCTTTGACATCGAAATGCGTAAATTATTTATTTCAGTCTGTCGGCGTTTTCAATCAGCTTCGACACTTGGTTGACTGATTGAAATTAATGGGCAATCCATTCAGATCCAACGGGAACCGCTTGCTGCCGCCGCTCCGCTGGCACTGCTGTTGTTGTTGCCACAGATCGATTTGAACTGCGGCGCCACCTTGACTGACATTGCCCTCAGGCCGGGCAGACCCTGGGACTGAGGGCCGCCACGCCAAGCGACGCCCGGTACATAGCTCAATCAAATGCCTCTGCAAATGGCCAAAATCAATTTGTGCGATTTTGTTGCTTTATGATCGCTGCCGACGCTGACGGCGACGCCGACCGAGGCAGTTGATGGCCCCAGCTTGTTAGCAGTTCAATCAAAATTGTTGGCCGCATATTAATTGACAGCGCCGCAACTGCTACTGTCCGCGATCATATTATATATCGCATTGTTATTAATGCTACATTAATATACATATACATATATATATAGATATACATTGATAAATCATTTAATTGACATTTGACGCACGTGATGTGCCTTCAGGTTGTTATTGCTTTGCTGCCTATATCTTACCCTAAAATGTTATGTTTGCACTTGTACTATTTACTTATATTTGCATGTGGCTAAGGAGGAATTTTGCTTTATTTATGTGTGTAATCTCTAATGAACTGTTTACTGAACCTTGATTAAATATTCTATAAATTTCAAATATATATTATTAGATGTTTTCAATTTTAAAAGCCAGCTGTCAGCAGTATTTTATTTAATATTTTATAAAGCTTTTCGAACGACAGCATTAGCTGCCTTAATGGTGTGTGTATATGCTGAATTTTGGTTATTCTTATACTGGTATAAGTGATAGCGTGCTTTCGTTGGGTTGTTGACTTTGTTTGTACTTTTGTGATTTCGTTAAGTTTGTACGTTGGTCGTTAAGCAAGAGCATTGTAGCAGTAGGTTAGTGTCTCCGCTTATAATTAGAATGAGTAATAAAATTTTGTATAAGACGCGGAATAGTGACTTTGCTAATAATTATAATAAGCAGCAGTTATACAACTTTGTATAAGACTTACACCTCGATCATTTGCGAATCCTCTCAAATGATTAAAATGAAAATTGATGAGTTAATAACATATAATGTGAAAAACAAGATCGAGTTAATTATTTTTCTATAAAAATAAATTCTACGTACATTTAAATTATAAAATTTTATTGACATCGCCACTGAGTTTGAAATTCTGCGCCACATACCAGCCACTTGGCTCCAGCATGTCTACACTTTGCAGTAACCTGAGCTATGTAATAGGAAATAAGATCTCTTGGGATCTGGGCATTACAACTCACAGGGCTCCACATTCAATGAATGCCTACCAAACTGAGAACTGCGATGAGTAACTCGCTGTGGCAAATTGTTGGGTTGTGGCTATGGTTGGGGTGGGGGAAGCGGATGGCACATGTGTCGTTTCGGGAGCTGCCTTCAAACACACATTAAGAGATTGTTTACAAATTGTGTGTTGGTTGGTTGTGGGAATGCTCGGCGACCGAGTCGAACCAAGTGACACGATCTGCACTTGGCTGCGCTGGCAAAGACTGTGACAATTGTCATATCGGGTTACCAGCAATAAAAATAGCAAATATGCCCCAACAGAAAATATGGGAATGATGTGGGGTACGCGGATGGACTGGCAACTACCCTATAAAAAAAAGAGTCTAAAGAAATATGTAATGTTTTATATTTAAAAAATTTTTTTTTTATTCAATATAAAAGTGAAAATGAAAATATATATATTGTTTACTATATCTATTAGATCTGAATGTTTAGTAGGTCCTCTCAGAAAACAGTGCATATAAAATGCCTTCGCCTGCTGCATTTGTTTGTTTGGCTTTCTTGGATTGAGAACTTTATAGGGTACATAAATAAATAATATTGTTTATATCTTTATCTTTATGATATTTACATATGGTCATTTTATACATACAGACCCACACTCGCACACACACACACACACACATTGTCACGTCTGCTGAGCTGCGCATTAAGCACTTTTTAATTAATAGACGCTCTGTCAGTAGTCCAGACACTGCCGCTCTGGGCGCAGGCACAGTGGCTCAGTGGCTCAGTGGCTCAGTATTTGCTCAGACATCGCGAAGATGTGGCGCAACGGCAGCGAACTAGAACCAGAAATCAAATTGAGCTAAGCAGAGATTGGCTTCAATTCCATTCAGCCATTCAGCCATTCAGCCATTCAGCCATTGAGTACGCCATGTGCTGGTGCGCACGTGTCTATTGGACGGTTCTGCAGAATTTGTTCGCGCGCTTCTACAACAGCCTCACAGATCGCAACTGCGCCGGTGGTTATCGGCGGAGCTGCTGTGTCTGCTGCGGCAGCTACAGGCGCCAGTCCGGTGACGGTGACGGCGACGGCGACGCCGACGACAACAGCGACGCGGACAAACAAGTTTCAGAATCGATCGTTGATGACGACCTGCCACGAGCAGCACCACACGATTATGTCATAGTGGGTGAGTTCTGAGCGAGATACATTGATAATAAACTTTGTTATCATGCCGAGGCATGCCGAGGTGCCAATACTCTAGCAGTTAAAACTTACAGAAGACTTTCTTTGTTCTATATTCAGGAATAGAGATTAATAAAAAAATTTAAGAAATATATTTGTATGTAAGGAAAGTTTACGAACTGCTTTCTTTGTTATATAAGGACGTGCTGTCTAACAATCTAGAGAATGTGAATCATACATTTGTAGCTAGGGTGAGTCTAGAGTGTTAGCTATAATTATAAGATGCAGATTCAGATTTTGGAATTGGAAAGAAGAACGAAATAATAATCATAATAATGACAAATATTTCTACTCTTTATATAACTGAAGAAAGAGATAATCTTTCTTTTAATAGAGAAAGATTGTATCATGAAGAAAAAACTACTTAATACCAACATTTTTATATGGTAATATCTAGTCCAATCTGATAAATGTTTCTACTGCTTACCAAAAAGAAGACTATGTTAAATCTCTTTCCGAATTTTACTAGATCTATCAAGATATACATACATAGATTTTACTTAATCTTCTCAGACTTATATAGCATATTATATCTTGTCCTTACACACACTCACTCACACGCTTATTTAACTGCAGATGAAGCCGATGCCAACTATGTGGAGATCGAGCAGCGTCAAATCGAAACCGAGCAATATTACTTCACCGTGGACCGCAGCATGGCCGAGCGCATGCTCTACCAGCGAGAGGACGGCGCCTGTCTGGTGCGTCCCTTCAAGGCGACGGACGTGTGCATCAAGTACATCGTGAGCATCTGCGCGGGCGGTCTCTATTATCACCTGTTTGTGCGGCAAATCGATAAGCGCCAGCGATTCGCCATTGGCCAGTGGAAGCCGCACGAGCGCCACTTCAGCTCGCCCTGCGAGATCATTGAGTTCTATGCGGAGCACCCGCTGCTCTGCACCAACAAGGAGCGCAGCCAGAGCGTGCGACTGAAGCCCATCAGCTATGCCTAGGCTGAATATCGACGTCTAATGCTTAGAGTTTAGGCTATGTTTATTGGGATTACGAGTAAGATAAATTATGTACAAATTGCGTAGCTTAAGCTAGTTAAGTAGGCAGCTGGGTCGGCTAGGTGGCCACGACTGCCTTGAAGGCGCACTGGTTGTTCTGCATCAGAGCGGGCCAGAGGAAGGCCTTGATCAGGTCCGAGCGACGATCCGACTGCGGATGGCGTTCGTGCTTCTCGGGACGCAGAAAGCCTAGAGATGAATAGCATTATAATTAAATATGATTAAATAAACATACTATGTTAGCATATCAACATACCCAGATTGAAATCAGTGTCCAGATAGTAGGGCGCCTTTTGGTTAATCATGCGCCAGGCCAGTCGCACGCAGGCGCTGACGAAGTGCGTCAGCGGCGGACAGGATTCCAGGCAGGGATACTCGTGCAGTGTGGACAGCACCTGATTGAACACGGATCGCTCGATCTCGCCCAGCGGAAAGGTCTCGGTTGTCTCGTGCAGATGATGGCGCACCGAACGGTCCAGGGCCAGGGCTGTCTCGCTGCTGCTGTCCAGGGCGCAGTTGAGCACGCGGCGCACCTCCAACACCTTGCGCTCCCGCATGCCGTGGCACAGGCGAAAAGAAAGCTGCACAAAATATGAGAAAGAAAGACAGAAAAGAAGGTTTGAAATATGCCAATCATTACCCATGGTTCAATAGCTGCCCACGGCCAAAGACCGAGCCAAGCCAGGCCAAGCCAAGCCAGGCCAACCCAGAGCAGCTGATCCGGCCAATTGCCGGTGTCATTCATCTATCTAACCACTTGTCTCTATTCAGCGCCGAAGATCGAAAGTTATTTATTGACAGCCGCCAGAAACCAGCTCAATCGCCAACGTAATTTCTCAGCCCCGCGGCGCTTTACTTTCTTCTATAACACTTAATCAGCGCCACGAAACTCGAGCAGCTGCGGCGCCAGCTCCAGTTCCAGCGCTTGCAGCGTTGCGTTGCACTGCAAATTGATATTTTGCAATAACAATTTGCGGCCGAGCCCAAGCTGGGGCTAAACCAGCAAAGTCACAAACATCGTAATCAACGTGAATTGGCAAAATATTGAAAATGATTTTCTCATTTCGAATTTCAAATAATTTATAAACTTTTCAATTTGGCGCACATCTAAAATCATTCTTGAGCTTTAACAGCTCAATAAAGAGGTCCGTTTTAGTTATTTAAGAATGTATATAAATTCGATATTCGCATTTGATTAATGACTCCAGTTTGTTATGTTAATTTTATTATTTTTTGAATGGTCTTCTTTGGAACGAGGTAAAAGTTCTCATTCGTGGCTAATTTAAATTTAACATAATTCATTTCGCTGATCTAAACAAACTATTGAGCTTAAGCAAAAACGTTTTATTTGTAATGAAATTATGCATATCTATTTATTTATCTATTTTTTATAGAACCAATTCAGAGACATGCAAAGCATTGGTAAAATGATTCCCTCTTCTTTTAGCCATATGTGAATGGTTAGTCAGTCAATCAGTTCTTGAAGCTCGTATAATATATTAAATAAATAAAAAAAAATTAAATATATATTTATTTCTCTTAAACATATAATAATTTTTAATATAGTAAAATATATATATATTTGTTATTCTTTTTTTAATATATAAAATATACTATAAAAAAATAAAATAAATGTTTATATAATGTATTTAATACATATTTTTATTTTACCAATAATATTATTAATGTATAAAAAACATTATTATTATGATTAGCTATGTATGTATTTTTTTATTTTTATTTTTTATAATGTTTATTTATGTATTAATCATTATATCAATGAATATTTATGGTTTATAAAAAAATTAATTTTATTTATCCAAACTAGAAACTATGTATGACTTATTTATTTATTTTTTTTATTTATTTATTTATTTTTTTTTTTTTTTGTAACATATTTATATATTTATTTATTATTATATCAGTGAATATTTATGGTTTATAAAAAAAAAATATATATATATATATAACCAAACTAGAACTAGAGCTTTATATAGAGTTATTGAATAATTCAATAAACAGACTTTTTGATTCCAAATGTAACTTAAGACTCACGAATTTCCTTTTCTATCTACTCTAAAAAATTCCAGAAATTATATTTAAAACGAATTGCCCATAATTTGAATTTCTACGGCTTCAGCACCTCAGAGACCCCATAAATGTTTGCAAATTGAATTTGTAAATAAATTGGAAATCTTCTTTACTTACCACAATCATGGAGAAGAGTATCTTGGCCTTCAGACTGTGCACGTGCTTGAGCTGGGGCAAGCTGTCCAATGCCTCCAGGGCGTCTGCTCGGTTCTCGATGTAGAGATTTCGATAATGTGACACCAATTCGCTGCGACGTGGGAGAAAGAAGTTGCGGATGAGAGTCGGTTTCGGATGAGGGTGCGTGGGGTGCGCAGACATCAGCCAAAATGATGTCAAGCCGCATTTTGAGCAGAGAAAACAATAGCAACGAGATGAGGTGACTTACCTGCCATCCTCGCTGGCCGAGTCGTCGGAGTGGTAGCCGTCGCTGCAGCTGCTGCCGCCGGCGCTGCCCGCGGCTGTGGCTTTGCTGGCCGCCAGCGGACTGGGCGGCACGCTCTCCGGGCCCATCATGTGGAGCACCACCTCGCAGCCGCGCGAGAAGTTCATCAGCAGGCCGGCGGCCGGGCGCTTCTCGATGTGTGCCTGGGCATCCAGGCGCTTCACCTGGCCCACGCAGGAGAGCACCTCCTTGTCGTTCTCGACGCGCGTGCTGAGGTTCTCGACGAGCGTGTGGAGCTGCTTCAGCGCCGGCTTATCGAGCATGGTCAGCAGGGTCTTGTTGTCAATCAGGCGCTGCTGGATGTCGCCATAGTTGATGGCCAGCAGGCGCTGGTGGGAGGAGTGCGCCGGGTCCTGATTGCTCGTGACCATGCTCAGCTCCTCCAGCTTGTGTATGGCCATCTTGTAGGTGTCCACGTGCCGCTGCAGCTCTGCCTTTAGCGCCACGTGCAACGATATCAGCTGCCCGGAGGCATCTGTGGTCAGTCCATGCACGCCCAATCCCTGCACGGCATTGTCGAAGCTGCGTCGCCGCTCGCGCAGCACCTGCCTCAGCCCGGGCTCATACTGGGCCAGCGCCTGCATCAGCTTGGAGCAGCGCTGTCGCAGGCCGGGCTCGTGTGGATTGGCAAAGAGACGCACCAGCTGCCAAACGACCGTCTCGCTGGGCACATCCGGCTTGGGCGTGCTGTTCAGTGTGGTCAGCCTATGTGAGAGAGAGAGAGAGAGAGAGAAAGAGATGGAGCAACTGGTGGGCAGTTGGAGTCTCTATGACTTACCTTGTGTAGAACGACTCCAGCAGATAGGCGCTGTGCGGCAGATGCTCCAGCAGCAGATCGATGGGCAGCTCCGCGATCACCGAGTGCAGCACCGACGGACCCAGGCGACCCACCACGCCCGCCGCCTCCCGATATTGTCGGCCCTCCGACAGCAGCATCAGCCGGCGCAGCACCTGGCGCGGACTGGTCAGAAACTCGCGGCCATCGCGCGACGGCCCACGAATGCGCTCCCGACTGTCCGCCATGGGCAGGCACAGGGACTGGCACTGGTTCTGGTTCTGGTTCTGGTAGATGGCGTCCTGGTGGTTCTTCAGCAGCAGCTGTTTCCTGTCGACGAGTCCAGCTCTAATTACTGACTGGCTAAGCAACTAACGGGTTAATATGGGATGGTCAGATGCGCGTGTGTTAAATTTGTACAAATGTGAATGAGAATCGAGAGCAACTGCGTCTTACAACAACTTCGGTTCCATGGACATGGCGTGGGCGAATTGCCAAACTCTGTGCGTAGTTTATGCTGCAAAAAAAGAAAGAAAGAAATCATTAATAAATAAATGTATGTGTGTTCATATACAATTGTTAATAAATAGGAAATCTGTCTGGGTAAGAATTCGCTTAGGCACAACACACAACAATTGCCACTTTCACCAGCGGCGGGGCGGCGTGCGAGTGGGCGTGGCCACATAATTTATCATAACTTAAGGCCTTACGCACACACCAGCGAACGAGTCGCAGCGATTGTTCAGGAAATACATACATATCTATGTATATGTATGTGTATAGCTAACATATCATATCATATCTGTGATTGCAATTGTGGGAGTTTTTCCACTGCACAAATGACAACTAGGAAAACAAGGCGCAGACAATGAAGCACTAACAACAACAACAACAGTCATCAAAGGAGCTGCAAACTTTTTCACATTTTCAACAGCTATTCAAATGTGAAGCCATAAATAATGCTAAATAATGCATTTAACCCATTGGACATATTTCACGTGCAAATACTTAAGGTTCGCCTCACTCTCTATCTGTCCCTCTCTCTCTCTCTCTCTCTCTGTCCCTCTCTCACACTCTCTCTCTCTCTCTGTCTCTCTCTCTCTCTGTCTCTCTCTCTCTGTCTCTCTCTCTCTCTGTCTTCACGTGGAGGTACGTATTCGAGTTCCCTTTTTGTGTGGGAGATAGTTATGACTATCTGTAGACTATAATCAGTCAATGTTGCCTGTCTGATCTGCATGCCTCAGTCTCTGTTAACTTTATGATATAAATGATTTCTTAAATATTTATTAAGACTGACTAAGTCACATTCATTACAAAGCGCGCATGCTTTCTTCTTGATAAAATATATAGTACAATGAGATATAGACTCCTCTTGTTTCTTATTCTTCTGTCAGAGTTGAGTAATGTGCTATTTATTTAATTCGTAGTATCAGTTGGGGAAAGTTGTCGATCTATATATATATTTATATATTTAAATTTTAATCATTGCATTCAATTATACTAGATCTCTATTAAATGCTCCTGATTATTAATAATTTTTTCAGAGTTTCTGCATATATATAAAAAAAAATCTTGTATAAAATAAATTATTTTAAAACCGTTTGCTCTTAATTTATACCAACTTCTTATATTTTAATATCATTTAATTAAGCAACAATTCAGACTAAATATTTA